ACAAGACCTTATACGACAGAATTCTCAACGGCTCATTTTCATTGTTCTTCTAGAAGTGTTTTTCAACCTTTTCTTTTTCTTTTTTTATCTCGTGGCACACTTGAACCTATAATTAAATTTCCGCGGAAGAAAATCACCTGATTTAAAGTTGTGTTTGTAAACATTCTATCGCCATATTACTTGCCACTTAACCTAATTCTTTTTGTCTATATTCTTTGTGAATTAAATAAAATAGTATTGTTGTTCCTTAAAACAGCAGCAGTTACAACAATAGTTATTTACATTAATAGTTTTCATTTACGTAAGAAAAGCAATTAATGTTAAGTCTTGACTTGCATTTAAAAGTGGCATAATAATTGCGTTTAGAAACCTGCCCAATGTTCCGCTATTTCTACGTTAAAATAATTTGAACTAAATAGGGACAATTATAAATACATTTTCGATTTGAAGAAAATTTCATTTTAAATGAAATAACCCAGTGTTATGCACATATAAATTTGCTTACGAATATATATTTTTCACCTCATTTTGTATACGTTTATTTATTATAACAATGAAAAACTCGTATAATTAATTTAAAGAGATTTTAATTTTGACATGTAAATTAATTGTTTTTTGGGTTTCTTTCGAAAATAATTTATTTTATAACTTTTCAAAAATTTTCGCGGGAAACACCGCTTGAAAATCACTGATCTAGAAAAACACAGAAATATCTGTCAAACTGTTGCTTCATTTTAACGAGGTACCGTATTATATGCCTTCTTATAAAGATTAAGTCATTCCTAATTAAGGACTAAAGCTCTATGAAAAGTAGTTCAATTACGTTTAAAGTTGAGTCACTAAAACGCCAGAAACATAATTAAAATTATGTTTCTGTATATTTAACCACATCTTTTCTGCAGACAAGTGACTATTTTATGTACTGTGTATCTTATCTAGTTAATTAAAAACAATGTGTGCTTAATGATGATGCAGTATATAAAATTTAATAATAAAATAGTATAATAATAAATTTTAAAAACTATATAAAAAGATTACAAGCCTATTTGGTGTAAGATAAAACTATAAAACCGTTCAGGATGATTTTGAAAATGTTTGTTACGATAAACTATAAGTAACAATATTTAAAATTCTTTTGATTCAACTATTTCAGACGTAAATAAAACAATTTACGTCTAAAAAGATCAAATATAGTATGATCCCGATTTATCTTTTTCTTGAAAACTTCTCATAAGTATCTACATTGTTTCTTATGATCGAAATTTGTCTCTCGTTCCGACGTAATCAAGTCACCCTATGCGTTTCAACTAGATAACATTAAAGTACTGCGAAACCCACAATTATTTTAAATAAAGTAAATAAAATAAAAGTGTTGATCAGGTTATTTACCAATAGAAAAGAGGTTAATATGGAATGAGAGAAGCGAATACGACCTAAGAGAAATAAACAAAGTGAAAGTTATCAAACATATCTTTATTTACTGCTACGAAAACAAAAGTTTATTAAGACAGTAAGCAAAACAAGTAAAATAAAACTAGTCTTTAGTTAATGAAATTAAAATCATTGATAAAAAATAAAAGAATTGTTTAGTAATGCGAACTGATTGTTAGGAGTCTTCGTCAAAGGTGAGTGATGACATCTGTTGTTCTGTAGCCGAAAATATTACGTGAATGAAACAAAGAAAACAGAGCTAGAACCTACGAGCAATCTATTCGAATCGCTCGAAAATTTTAATCTCGTCGCACTGACAGTTGAAATATTTTGTTCTCGTAAATAGAGAAGAAATATAAAACAAAACAGCTCATTTTACAGTTCTCGTGAATCGAGAACTCGTAAATAAAGGTCACGTTGTATTCATACAGATTACTGTAATCCTAGTTAGATTTTTTGAGCTTTTTATCAACAATTTACAATTTTGAAACTTTGATAAATGTTTTGAGACTTTGAAAAATTGAATAATTCCTAAATACCATGAAATACAATCGTCTTATTAATTTACTATTTACTACATATAATATTAAAGACAATAAATAGTTTAGAAAAATATTGATAAATATGGCTATAAAATTTTTTAAGTTTTTAAATTAAGAGAGACTGTTCTGATTAGTTCCGATTAGACTCACTGGCATTTGGGGAACTTTGTCAGTGACTATAAAATGTTTTATTACGGTTAAAAAGATTTTTAGAGCTGTGTATGTGTATATATATGTACATACATACACACATAGATTTCTCTCTATATATAATTAAAAAACAAGTTAAAATTTGTTTCACATAGTTCTGTGATACACACACAACATTCATATAGTACCAAACAGTGTAATCGGCTATCTGATTGAAGACAAGTTTAGTTATAAATGCAAATGCAATTGTGATGAAAGTTAAAGTAACATGATTACCTTCATCACTTGTTCACTGCACAGTTAATCGAATCCTTTCGAGATTAATCTAGACACATCCGCACAATGCAACGTCAGGCATTCGTAATTGGAGTAAAGTAACAAACATTTGGCTCAAAACTGTTCTCTATTAATTGCTTCCCTATTATGTCCATTCTGAATACAGCAAACCTAATTGTTTCATACCTTCAGTTTTTAAACCTCAAGCAAACGTAATTGAAAAAAAATTCTTTTTTAAACCGTTTATTCAATTTAAGTTTAAACATCTTAAATTGAATAAACGGTTTAAAAAAATTTCTGAATTGTAACTTAATAATTAACATAAAAACAAAACTTTATTATATCTTGTAAAAATATGCTTATTAAAAAATTCTTTTGCTGCTTTATACAAAAGAAAGATTTTTCAAAGACGTTATGATTCTTTCCATATCTTCCAACCATGCTTTTAATCTTTCAGCTATCATAAAAATAATTTTAAACTAATTTGCATACTCTATACAGCGGAAAACTATTACAAAATAGTATGTTTTCTACATATATGTATAAATAACACTTACAAATATAATATTGTTGTGCGTAATTTTGTTAATTTTTTCAGTATGATACTGCTTAATCTAACAGTTAGTTGACACGTTCTTAATTCTACATACCGGTTTTACCTATAGAAAAACAGGCAAAGCACACCCGTTAACTTATATCTATCCTGTATTTTGAGGGTTATATTTCTCCTTAAGCTCTCTCAAAAAAAAAAATTAATAATAATAATAACAATCTTTAACACTGAAATGACGCTTACGCAACTGAACTTTATTTTCTATGAATCTCGAATAAATTATTGATTAAAAAACAAATTTAAAAATTATCTGCGTGCTTATCACAAGTTTTATGACAAATAACAAGAAAAAGTTGTGAAAAAAAAATCACTTATTTCACCAATCATTTAGGAATTATTCACAGTTTAAAACAACGCTTTAAATTGCAAAATATTCTAGTTTTAAATTTCTGTATTAATAATGCTATATGATTAAGACTTAACTATTCAGTCTTGAATGATTTAATTTTTATTATTAAAATAAATTTTATTTATTGATATTTATTTATTCGTAATAATAATTTACTAGCTAGTGAAAAAATGTTTAAATTATAAGCGCATGAGAACTCTTATTGCCCAATATGCACAGTCGCACGGTACGACCTAACAACTAAATTTACTAGTGTCAATATATTAAATTATTCTGATTTTTGTTGTTTTAACACTATATAAATAATAATAAAAAACTAATATAAATTTAAATTGAACAAACATTACGAATACAATGAATAAACATTCAAATACAAAGAAGAAAGTAAAACTTTTTTCAAAATGTTCATTAATTTCCATTATATGTTTATCTCCTTCACCAAATGATTTTGACCAGCTTTATCATATTTAAAATAAACTATATATATATATATATATATTTTCGTAAAAGTTTATGAGAAGCAAGAGTTTGGTGAAAATAAAATGGAAACACTTTAAGAGTTTTAAAATTATTACAAGACATTATTACAAGACAAGGTTATAAAATATGCAGTTAGAAAAATATCAAATTGAAAGTCATTATATTATAGAAAAAGTTTTACGAAATGTTCATTAAGACAAAAATATTTTTATTGTTTGTTATAGATAAAAATGTGATATTTAAAAGATTTTTCTTCTTGGGTCCTTAATATTTTTCTTAGTCTTACAGGATTTTCACAGGACCAAATAAAGAGACGTAAAAATGAAAATCGCTTTCATATCCTTAACCAAGCGATTTTATTGTAGCTTATATTCTTCTAAAATCGAATAATTCTGGCATTATATTTAAGTTACATATAGGCCTAAGTTAAAATTCAATATTTTTAAAATTTAAAGTAAGCTATAATATTGATTTTTTAATAAATTGGTATTAATATTAAACTTAAGAAAATGAAAAATAGAATGCCAAAACAAAAATTTCTAACATATAAATTACAATCTACAGTGAAAAAAGGATAAAAAATTCTCGGTTTAATATATCGATCAGATAAAGATTGACGTCAAATGCTACTGTTTCCGAAAGGCAATATAGATTTTGTATGGAAAGCTTCACACAAAGCTCTGTTCAAGGTGACATTGGCGGTATTTGATTGATCGCCTGACTAAAGAATCGAAGATTGACTTAAGTGGAATTCACTACTGTCATTTCCTATTATCAGAAAATGAATAATTAATACAAAATTCAGATACAAACGACTTTTTCGTATATTCTCATTTTAAAATCTGTTCAAATATTTTTTCTTTTTATATGATTGGTCAATGATTTAATCGTATAGTTTCCAATAATTACAAAATTATTAACTGGAATATGTTTTTAAAATTGTGTTTCCCTTAAAATTTAATTCTAAGTACGTTAAAACGAATTAGTGGTTACTATGAGGATTTATCGAATGCAAAATTATTACGTGCAAAGTTAATAGCGTCATTAAATTAAAAAATAATAATAATCGAAATGTTGTTATTGTCGGAGTATCACTCAGACATAAGTATCGATATTTGCGTCTGTTAATGCCAGACACAAAATATCAAACGATCCTTACTCCCAAAATTCGGCAACGGCATCCACTTTTCTATTGGTGCTACTTTCTACAGTGGTAACGGTGATGTTGACGGCCATATCGGTGAAATTGGCATCGGTTATGTTACGAGTTTCCTCGACGCGCAAACAGTGTTCGGTGTTCCAGTGGTTACCGCAAGTTGACCACGGAAGGACATCAGTGAAAGAGTAAAACAAGTAGAGTAATCCCCAACTCAAGATGACGATGTAGTATATATTGAGGAAGAAACAGATGATGGTTGTTCCGTAACCAATGCCTGAAAAAGAAGATAGACTGTAAAATACATAACATTCTTGTATTGTCACATATAGTACCCTAGGACCATATTTGATTACATATCGAACCTGCATACATATTCTGTAGAAATGTAAGCACTTTCGTTCTGTAATTTAACAAACTGGACAATTCATATTTAATAAAAGATCTTACTCCTTTTTAGTCTCGTTCTGTAGAACGACTTTACCTTTAAAAATAGGACAGATGTTCCAAACAGTTATCCCCCCTTGACTCGTATACTGTCCTAATGCAATCTCAAGCATGAAAACGGGAGCTCCACCAGCTAAAAGGCAAATGCCGTAAGGTATGAGAAATGCTCCTGAAAGAGAAAAATAAATAAAATGTCATTACATAAAATTTGTAACGTTCATATAAAAAATCAATTTACTGTTATGATAAATCACTAATTATAGTACTTTTAGTTCATATTCAATAAAGTCATTTCTCATAAATTTCTATTATTTACTTTCAATTACGTTAAACATTATTAATTTATGCTATTTTTCTAATTGCTCCGAATTTCTATTTAAACTAAAAGATTCATTGATTAACTATTTTTTAAAATAACTCAAAGTAATTGCAGATAAACAGAATTGAAGACAATGCATTCAATTTGTTTCAAAACAACAACAATAAAGAGCATTAAGAAAATTAAAGTTCTAAAAAATGATCTTAACTTTACATTAGAACTATAAAATGAATATTTTTCGATTACATTTTTCTTAGTACATAATTAATTTAAACATATAATCTTTTGATATTTAATTTCTGACAGTTCTGACGAAATTTCGCAGCTTCTATATAAATTGTCGCGACAGATTGATTTTTGAATAACTTCATATAAACGTTAAAAAATCACTCAATTAAATTAAAGTGTACGCTGTTTAATACCAGGATGTTGGAACTACACCAAAGAATATAACGATGTAGAAGGGATTCGTCGTTGGTGTTTTGCCAAACCAAATAAGGAAGCAATGAAGCATAAGCAAGCAAGCAGTAAGTGTAACGTTGGTCGATAAAAGGGTCTATAAGTGTGTGTCCTTTCGTGAGATGACAATTAGATCACTCCCGAATCTGAAGGTCGATCGACAAACAAAATTCAATACTCCAAACATGCATACAGGCAATGACGAAAATTCAGTAAATTATCGAAAAGATGCCTAGCAAGACTTGAGAAGTCAGCAGGAAAGATACTTTCTAAGGATACCGGTTAGGCGTATATTATAGATTAATCCTTAATATTTGAATTATTTATTTATTTTTATCTATATTGTATTACTGAATATTGAAATTTATGATCACATGCCGGTAATAAAATAAATATAATGTGATAGGCACGACCATATATATGCTAGTTACAAACAAAACATGTTTGTCTGCATTCTAGTTTATAAATATACAATAGCTTTAAAAGATATCGAATAGTAATAAAAACAATTCTTGTTATTATTAACTGCTCATTAACTTAAAAACTTAATAGTAAAGACTTTCCTTATTTTTAAACGTATTTATTTGTAACTTGACGTCTTAATTTGACGTCAAGTTAAGTCATCAGTTTTATTAAAGGAGAGATGGACACAACTAAATTAACTCAAGCGAGAGCAGGTGAAACATTTATAGTAAGTAGCATCTCATTGCCAAATTGTATTTATTCATCACGACCTCATTTCTCCTAGTATTGTCACATGACTAACTGCGCCAATATCCTCTAAATGCAGCATACTTGCATCAGTACAGGATATTTAAGATAGGAAAGGAGTTTAAAATTTCAGATAAAATTGTTACTGTGTTTGAAATGAAATACTGTATAAACATTCTACAAATAAGATTGAAGACTTTGTAATTGGTAATTAACGTATCGTAATTAATTCTGATATCAACGTATGTCTATCTTAAATTCCATTTTGCACTATTCTGGGCATTTTCAGCGAAAACCTTGGTTTAATTTTAAAAAATTGTCCTCACGAATTGATGTTTAATAGAATTAAATTCAAAGTGTTTAAATGTCAATCAATCCTAGAAGCGTAGACAGAGTTCAGCAACACCATTTGATTTGGTCTAGAACACACAAGAGCTCCAAAATTAATAACTTTTATGTAAAAAAAAAAACATAAAAGTATTTTAAAAACTTATTTGAGACTGGTATGGACACTATCTTTTTCTCTAGGCTGTGATGTCGATAATAATCAAATTTTTAAAGGATCAAAGTTTTGAAAAGCTAAAATTCATATCTATATTGTGTATTAAAAAAATTAAAATTTCATTTTAAGTGTTCAAAATTACAATAATATTTCTAAAAAGAAAATTAACTTACATAATTTGCTTTTAAAATTGAATTAAATTATTAATAGCTTAATTCATTTCTTAATTAATTAATTAAATAAATACAAAAACATTTTTGTATTAATTTAACTCTGTTCTAGAAAGTAATTTAAATTTTTGACATTAAAGCAATAAAACGAATTATTTTTTCCTCTTTGTAAATTCTCCAATAAGTAAGAAGTTTAACTCAATAGAACTTATATCTTATAAGGAAGGGGTTTCTCGTGTCAGTCTTACATTTAAAAAAATATATATCATTCGATATAGAAGAAAAATAAGAATACACATATTTTTTTCTTTTATCTATCAGGTCAGCCGTTCGCAAGAAATAGGGTTCTAAAATGTTCTAATTCACATAAATATACAGTATAGCAATGGCCGTATTGTCGCCAAACTGGAAATATCGAGGGGTTGATTCTGCTTGATGTTTTTACTTTTTATGGTTTAATGTAAATGTAAGGAAAAATGCAATATTTAAGACTAATTAATTGTTTACAATGAGCAATGAAATAAAGGCATTTCTGTCACAATCTTCTAATGAACACTTTGTTTCGGGAAATGTAAAATTTACGTCGATAATATTAGAAAAACTTGTAATGTTCTCGTCTGTCACATATCCTGTCTTCTGACATGCATACATTAACATGTGTTTAAAAATAGCAGCACATAATTGGGTATACGTAAATGCCAAAGTCCGGCTACAATTCTACCATTACGCCATCAATGTTATATATATATATATATATATATCATTTTAGACCCCTATTTCTCGCGAACAGTGATGATAAATCTAGTAATGATAAATTAATAAATATACTTTATTGACTCATTAAGCATGACAAACAATATTATGAGAAAAAAGCAATCGAAAAATTTTTTGTTTACATTTTCACTCTTAGATTTAAATTCAATTAAATCTTAAGTTAAATCTCTAATTCTATGTAGTGATCTGCGTTTTACCATGTAAGTTATGTGTATACCGTATATATAGACCTATCCATATTAATATATATATATTTATATCATCTATGTACGGTATATATATACATTGATGATATGAATAAGCCTGTATATATAAATATTGATATGATAATGACATTTAAAAATATATATTTCAATTGTTTAATCATATAGTGCATTTCAATCTAAAATTTCAGTTAATTTTATTGATAAATTTATCACACACAAATGATTATAATTATTTGGAATAACTGTAGTTGTAAATTATTAATTCCCCAATTTTTATGTATCTACCGTAATGTCTATACGTTTGTCTCAATTCTATTATAGTTAATAAATAAATCTTCAAAATATTCTAAAAAATGTTCACGAGAACCTTACTTTATTTAAGAACTTGTTACATCAAGGAGGAGCGCACAAAAATTAGAAGACGACAACCGTTTTTCAGATATTTATTGTAACACAAATCTGTTACAATAAATATCTTTAAAAGCTTCCGAGCACTTAATTAAAGCGATTCTTATTATTGAATGCTCATTAACTTCAAAAGTTACTCTTTCTCTACTATGAAACATCTCTTTGTAACTTAATATGACGTCATCGTGAAACGTCAAGTCATTAAAACAGGATAGTGATTTTGCATCTAAGAATATGTCAGATCAGAACAAACGAACACACGCCATTATATTTCAATACATTAAAGCATACTTTTTGTCTCGATTTAAATTCATAAAAATTTATTCACCAGTCTTAATATTTCTAAAAACTTATTTCGAACTGAGTCTCCAATTAAATTACTGATCTGTGTTCCAAATAGCTTACTTCATAGTGTTTTGTTGCTAACAATTTTGTAAGCTAAAAATTATGCGAGAAAATCAATATCTTTCCGTGTAGTTTTTTGCTTACGAAATTTTTCAATTATTACTTTTTATTTGAGAAAAGTATGGATCTATTTTGGAAAAATAAATGAAACGTAATATTTATGATATTTTAATGTCTAATATTTAAATTTTCTTCTTTACGCTGCTTTTTTTCCAATTAAAAGATTCTCTCTCATTATTTCAATTTTTGCACGACATAATTTCAGTTAACATTAAATCATAATGAAGTTACAGGCCCAAGGACGTATTGAACTACCTCTACTTGATATTGATCGTTTCTGATAATCGGAAAATAATTTATTCTGTTACATAAATAACTATATATAAACGACTCTATGGTAACCGAGACAGCCCAATACAGTAGGGAATTAAAACGTTCATTTGATTTTTATGTAATTCGGATTTACAGCATTTTCAAGAGGTTCGTCACAATCATCATCAGACATCGCAGGTATCAAGCATAATAATGCTAATACATAATATGTTATATTTACGTTAACATTATTGTGCTTCACCAGACGGAGATATTGCATGAAAATTTCCTGGGGATATCCGCCTAGATTCGACCATAAGCAGCAGACTGACGTCTTTACCGCCTCGGCCAACCGACCGACTACTTCGGAAAATCAGTAGATGCAAGAAAACGAAGAAATGCTAATAAGATACGCAGATAATAAAAAAAACTGATCTGAATAAAAAACGATGAAAACATAGAATAAAAAACACTATAATAAAGAAATTGGTTTAAGTTTACAAAAATATAAACAAGATGAATGAAATTAATAATAATGTAAATCTTGGAAATACACACATAAACACATTCATAAAAGAAAATTTGAATTTTATAATTATCATCCAAAACAAAGAAATACAGGTAACCCCCGTATAACACGGTAGTTACGTTCCAAAAAATTGCCGTGTTATGCGAATCCGTGTTATACGAAACAAAGAACTAATACGAAAAGGAGGGTTAGGTTCCAAAAATTAAAAAACATGCTAGTATATTTTCATAATTAAGATAAATATCTTCATTAAAATTTTTTAAGTGATACATATTAATATAAATTAAACAATGTTTTCTTCGTCATCACTAAAAACACTATTAATTAACCGAGAGCGTTTTCTTTTTGGCAAGTTATCCTTATCCTCTAAGCAT